CTCGGCACACGAGTAGCGTGACGTTTGAAACAAGTAAAGCCTAACACACCAGAAACGTGACTTGCGAAACTGATGCAATTCATCTATTTATTGTGATGCTACACAATGCTACACGAGACAATTCAAAATTTAAATAGTTTCACAAACAACCAAATTTTGCATATTCTAAATTTTCATTTGCATTTGCAGCTGTCGCTAAAAGCTCCCCACGAGGCTACTGCTATGCTAAATTTATCTAAAACTATAATTGAAATAGCTGTGTAAGATATGTTATGAATAATAAGCACTACGTCGTTACATCATTAAAGTGCTACTGCAGCGAATTTTTGGACCTAGTTTTTTTTAGCTTAAATAAAAATGCAGTCTTTTAGAAGCATTTTCATATATATTTGACCATCATGCGATGCTTAGAAGTTGCCAAATTAAACCTCTGAAGGTGGCTATCGCGTGCGAACTTTTCCGTCGCCATATTGATGCCGTGTGACGTCATAAGATGAACGGAAACGAAGATATGAAGGTCGTACTTGTAGTAAATTGTATGGCGCGTAAACATATTGCAGTGGAATTTTTGTCTATTTCACTTGTTTATGGCGCAGATAACTGATTTTTAAAAATCGAAGAACAAGTGCTATATCATATTGTTTATTTGACGGCGGAATGACGGTTAGAGATTCAGATAATAGGGTCAGTATACATCTGGAAGTCAACGAGAGACTCGGCTAAGTGCCTAAGTCGGCTTTGAAATACGATAAAGAACCAGTTCAACGCCGCTGCAGATAGGTAACTACCATCTGACTGTGTTGGAGCAATCAAGCGATGGTACAATACCTGTAAAATTAGTGGTAAGTAGATCCATTTTATAGCATGTATATTTATAGTGTATTGTGCTCGCCTCGGTATTGTGTCTGATTTGTTTGAACACATCTGGTGTGTGTAACTTAATATTTATTATAAACTGGATTGTGCGTGACAAAAAATATAAGAACGTTTATAAACACAAGCATATTCATAGCCTAATAATTCGCAATACTCAAAATGATTTTAATTTTGTTTTTAATAGATAGCGTCATAGCGATAGGTGTAATTGGCAATTACGGGCTGTGGTTCTATTGATGGCTATAGTTTTACTTGGATGGGAAAACAGAAGAAAATAATTTCCAACAACAAAGACACAGCTGCCTTATGTTTGAGCAGAAAAGCGGTCGACTTTAGCTGGATTAGGTCGACTTTAGCTGGAGTCAAGTTAACCTTTGAGTCAAAATTGTGCCACTGTGCAATATCACATTTACTGTAATATTTTGAAATTATATCAATCTTCAAAGTATCCCTCATGGCCTCATGTTTTGTGCACAAATATATTTCTCACATAATAGCCTACCAGTACAATATTATACTATTGTATTATTATATTTATTGTTACTTTATACTATGCAATATGTATTATTGATATGACTGAATATAACTCCAATGGCATCGTTCCTCTCAAAAGTCTTGACGAAACTTCAATCTCAAGATGCTCTGGACAAGAAACAAACTTAACAAGAGATAGTCTTTTTACAACCACAAATGTTAAACACTTTAGACTAACTATATAGCATCATTTGCGCAAAATATTCACCATGTGTGCGAACTACGACAGCGAACATATTAATTTGTACTTCACTATATACTTGCGTCTGTTAGTTGTACTTTAGCCAGGGGAACAATTCTAGCCATGTAAATTGTATAAACAGTTTCTTCCTTCAGTATTCTTTCCATTTTACGAGGTTTTGTCAATGAAAATAAGATATAGCACGAATCTTCAAAACGGGGTCAATCAAAACACTATAGGTTCGCAGATGCGTGAAAACCCGCGGTCAATGTTTACGGATAAAATTCACTGACTTTCTTTCACTCTGGATCTGTTTCTTTGTTGAGAAATAGATGCATGGATATTCCTTCAGGCTGTTCAGAATTCGTGCAATAATCTAAGTTAGAACTGCCAGAAACACGGCCTTCGTATCCGCGTTTGTTGATTTTACTATAATTTTAATACGCCATGTGAAATCGTGTTCATCTTATGACGTCACATGGTATCAACATGGCCGATCAAAAGTTCGCACAGGAAGTGCCAAAAATGGCCACTTTGGAAGGCTATAAAATCGGTTTGAATTGACCAATTTCAATTCTGTTTGTGGTAAACAGGTCAGGAAAGAAAGCACTTTTAATTAAGCTAAAAAAATGAGGGTCGAAAAATTCGCTGCAGTAGCACTTTAAGATGTTGTGAGTTAATTGAGTACTAAAAAGACTTCGGAAAATGAAGTTTCATATTGATAATGACATGTGGTTTGCAAGATAAAAGTTTCACTTTTTCCCTACTATGACGTATGCATATCGAATGCATATCCAAGATGGCGGAATGCACGCTGCTTTTGATAAAAATAAGTCGATTTATTTCGAACACCAAGCAAGATACTGAATAATTGTAAAGGAAGTTTATATATAATTTTAAACGTTCTTTAAATAAGACAAACTTAGTTTATATTGCCATATCCCTTTAATTGCATCTCCGCACCACTGATATCCCTTTAAGAGGAGTTTTTAAATGTTACGTAATACGCGCTCAAAAGTAATACTGCTTTTAAAGCATCATTGATAATTGTATTTTAATTGACAAATTTTTCCCATTATTTTATGTTTCTCAATCGGCAAATGCATTTAAAAAGGTAGCTAACTGTATGAACTAGAGAATAAAGCTGCGCCAAAACGATTTTCGGATTTGAACACTTTTCATCGCAAATACGCGACATAGAAAAAAATTGTCTGGTAACAGTTTTGCCCCAGTCGAATATGAAATGAATGCCTCCAGATCGATTGAACTTAAAAACGAGTTTCTTTGAAATTCTGCTTTCCTTTTAACAACTATTTGACAGAACCAAAACAAATTTTAGAATTCTGCCATCCAGTCACGAATGAGGGATCCCACTGTTTTTTAGCTTAGCATTTATACAAAGGGTCTATGTGTAGTGGAGTATGCACCATTTATAATTGTGAATAGGGCCGCCGAGAGGTTACGCGGAGCCCGGGGCCTTATGACGTCATGGTTGTAAAACGGAAGAGGGAGTGTTTTACAATATATTACACTTTATTGCATATTATCCGTCACTAACGCATCTATAGGATTTATATTGTCAGTTAAGCAATCTTTTATCGAGAAATTTTAAGGGCCTTCGTTGCTTTGGGGGCCCCTTCTGAGCTGGGGGCCGGGGCATGCCGCCCATGGCTGCCCTGATTGCAAAATCACAACGTTTACTGTTTTTGCAAATATACTACTTTCTGATAACAAGTTTCAATTTTCTTTTTTATATCTTTAGTCCTGATCGATTTCATGCACAAAATGTAGCAATTAGTGAGTTTCGAAAGTTTGCAACATCCAAGAATGTTCATGTGACTATCGTTATTCATCCACGAAAGGTAAGATGATTTATCTTAAAGTATGACCTATGTGAAATTGCATTCAATTGTGCCCTGTTCGCCTATCCATGGAATTCTACGCACAGAGGCGTACATGCAGAAGAGATATTCAAATAAAAAAAATAAACGTCATTATGATCATCCTCTTCATCATCATTGTCATCATTATCATCATCAATTTTCTGATACATCTTCAATGGAGTTTAGGCCTCATTTTTGTAAAGTTTCATTGCCATGACTATAAAGCAATTTCTCAGTGATGTTATGCTATATTTAATATAATAATATACATAAAAATATTACTCGATTGTGATTGGTTGATTTCGGTGCAGTTAATCCCAAACAGCAGTGCAATTTTCTGTAATCACAATCCAATTTTCTGTAATCACAGTGCATTTTTTTGTAATCACAGTACAATTTTCTGTAATCACAAAGCCTGGAAAATATGGCTTTTATCTTTTTTTAAATGGAAAAGCCTTTACCTAAAACAAGACTAACAAAACTTACATAGTTGAGTGGAATTTTCAAGTTGTCAGTGTTGTATAATGTGATATAACAAATTCAGGAAAACTTTGCCAGTGGACGGTTCGCTATAAACGTACAATTGTCTCGAACATTTTGATATTTAACAATTATTCGCCGAAGGCGAGGTGATTATCGGTGAATAAAAACCGAGACGAAGTCGAGGTTTTTATTCACGATAATCACCGAGCCTGAGGTGAATAATTGTTTTAGTATAATTTCATAGGTGATCATTTGGAAAAAAATTAAAAAATGCGCATTTCTTCGTCTTCTAATTGACAAAACGGCTTCGGCCGCCATTTTGAAGATCGCTTAGGTGATTATTGCGTAATAATCACCTCAACGGTAACCAATCAGCGTGGAGAATTTTCAATAATCACCTATGTAATTATACTAAATATTATTAATACGTAATAGCATGGTTTCTCGACGTGTAATTTGAATAAAACAAGCACTCGTGAGTTTTAAAAACCTCAAATAGCTTGTTGCTCTTTGAAAAACTCACTCGTGCATGTTTTATCCAAATTTCACTCGAAACCATCCTATTACCTATACTAATCTTCTTTAACAGAATCCACCCGTCGTTGTCACGGTCTACCGTGCTATCGTTTTCTGTCTTCCATTCTGATTAAGCTGTGCCTCTAGTCTTCTAAATTACCAAATCATCTTAGTCTTGCTTCCTCGATATTCTAACCCAGTCGACACACTTTCAATTTTTGTTTTGCCATAGAATTTTCACGGACTGCCTAGTAACTACTATATAAATATGCTTTATATGACAGGAGGGTGACGATGCCGAGCTACAAACAGCGTCTATCTTTGGTTCAGCAAAAGCAAGTCAAGAAGCAGATAATGTTATAATTTTGCAAGATAAGAAAGGAAAAAACGCAGGAAAATATCTGCAGGTATGGGAAGAACGGGGACCAATGTGAAAATGCTATCAATGCAAAATTTACCAAATCAGTTTTATAATATTTACTATAATGGTGTTAAAATCCTAAAATTATATAGTGCTTAGTTACCTGCTTTAGTAACTTTTCATGAGCGCTTGTACCGGTTAAATTACTGAACCTCATATTTCTATTTGTCTGTTAGGTTACTAAAAACCGCTTTGATGGCACACTGGGGAAAGTCTACTTAGGTTTCAACCGAGATTCACTGACCATGTCATCCTACCAAGGAACCACCACGACCACTGTGTCATCTAAGAAAGACAACAAGTTTATACGAAGTGTCAAGCCTCCTAAAACAGGCCTGAGCTCTAGAAAAACTAAGACTGAGGGTGAGAATGAAGAAAGGAAAACAGGTGGTGAACGCGAGGCAAAATCCGGAAATCGAGAAAAGGGGAACTACAAAGAGAAAAACGTAAGTTCTAAATCATCTGTTACATCAAGCACTAGTGTGGTGTCAAACAAGAATATAAAGGAGTCAAATTCGATCAAAATGCCTATTCAAGCAGCGAAATTGAAGATTAATAGTGAAAGTGGGTCAAAAGATGTAAATCAGAAAGATAAACACAATACTGAATCTTCAGCGAAATCAAATACTCCTGTGGTGGCAGGCAGTCATATAAAACACGCGAATTTAAGCACAAATTCTGTTGAACCATCTAGTCAAGCAGCGAGGCTGAAAAAAAACGAGAATTCAAAAGGAACTGCCTTAAGTACGAAAGCGATGCGTTTTAATGGACACTCTAGTAAAATATAATTTTGTTTTAATTTACGTTAAACAGTTGGAGTTAAATTAAACAGTTCGATGTTGATGAAGAAGATTTCGGTTAAACAGTTGGATGTCAATAAAGTATACTGTACATAATACTTGAACACTTGTTACCATTCAAACCCACAGATCTAAACATCTCATGCAGTATCATTGTAGTTACAGGTAAACTATACGTCAAGCGTTCCTCTTTTGAGTTCCTAACTTGATTGAAATATTACTTTCCACACTTAAAACTCCCTTGGAATTCCCCTGAGGGAATTTGCTGACTTCCTGTTCTACTCTGAGCATTCTCATTGGTGGATAATTTTTGTTAGCCAATCACAACGCGCAGAACAGAACAGGAAGTTAGGAACATGTAACAGGATGTTAAAAACTTCTAACATAAACTGAGGAAAATTTAGTTGACTTTTAGGAACATTTGCAAATTCCCTCAAGAGATTTGCAAGGAAGTGAGAAAAATTGCAACCAAGTTTGAAACTCAAAATGAAACGCTTCACGCAGTTTACCTGTAAGCCTCGTTCAACAATGTTGGACGATTTTGCAAAATGTTGGATGGAAATCAGTTAAACAAAGTCAAACCCTATACATACAGTACGGTACAAAATAAAAATATTACGAGGGTATACTGGCCAGAACAGAATTACACAAAAACAGGGCATTAATTCATTCAAAGATGAATATTGCCAAAAACGAATATTGGCCAGCCAGTTTTAACTCATGCTTTTAGAATAGACCCATTGCACTGACGTCACAAATACTCAGAGTGTCCTCCAGATGCTCCATAACAATATCTGTTCGGGTACAACAACCACATACAGCGCAAAAATTAACCATTTTAATACAAAACAAGACGCTCTGTAGAGCGTTAACTCGCTGGGGCTATACAAATACGCGCGCGCACATTAATGTTGTTCCCGAACTAAGCGGAAAAGTCGAATACGAACGCAAAAGGCTTTTTAACACTGTACTAAAATGCGGTGCTCTACAATTCAAATGAAACTTCCGGGGCTATCTTTAAAACGGGGAACGGGGAATGGGGGAAGGGAACGGGGAAGGGAACGGGGAAGGGAACGGGGAAGGGAATGAGCGGGGAATGGCCGGGGAATGAGCGGGGAATGTGAGCGGGGAATGGCCGGGGAATGGCCGGGGAATGGCCGAAATCGGGAAAAAACCTAGCGGTTTTGAAGATTTTTGATTAAATATTTTCATGAATTGTTTTCGTTGCGTTATGGCAAATGTAGCAATGAAGTAAATCGAAATTACAGTAATAGGATTAGGCGACCGAAGCTTGTTGTTTGGGTAAATGACGTAGTTCCTTTTGGGAGAGGCCAAGGCTCCCACGCAATTGTATCATATAAGATTGTGCTTTATTTAATAAATGGCTCGCCACTCTGGCTTTGACTCCGCGCACTTGTTTTGCATTGACATTGTGCTCGGCACGTTACAAATATTAAACCATAACTATAGTAGACCCTACTAGACCGCAATATGTAGATGTTTATACGATCTTATCATTCTCATGTTGATTTATTGTTTGGCTTGAATAAACCAATACTTGTCAGTGTTAACTATACAAGTAATCAGCCGATCCGCACATTATAAGCCAATAAAAGTAATGGTATATAACGTAAGACAATTCCATTAGCATATTGGTCATATTGGAATTGAACTTTACACATATTTATACTCCTAACCCACAGCCCCAGCTCTATACACTGCAAATAAATTATTGGATACAATCATACAAATATTTTATTGATACGTTCTTCATATACAACGTGAGGATCGGGTAACAGTATTAATTACAATGTCACTGTGCCGCGTAGCTATAGGAAGCGCGGCGTTTAAAAACCTGGCGAAAATCTGTCATTAAATGTAATTTGTGTCACACAACATTCTTTTAACCTTCAGGTAAATTCTTGCTGTCCAGTTCTATGCTAAAAATTTAATTTCATTTGTAATGATGACATTTCAATCCAGTATTTTTTCGAAATTTGATCTTACATTCTTACTAAGCTTTACATTGTGCTTAGATAGGAAGCGCACATTGAAAACTATGCCCAAAGTGCCACATACTCAAATGACAAAAGGTGAGATAAAATAGTGTAATACGTCAGCAAACAGCTTTTGGTTGCCGACATTCAAAATGTCTGGAGTACAGGGAAGCTTTAAATTTCGTTCACTAATAAAAAGGCGAAAAATAGATCACTGTTTACCCACATTTAGTTGGGAATCACTAAAACATGTTGAAGAAATTGGCAGTGGTGCTTTCGGGGTATCTTAACCTCTCTAGTATTGTTACGTGATACGGTTTTGATCAATCGTCGAACAGAGAAATTGAACTTTGACAAAAACTATATAACAAGGTCTATTGTCTTGCGTTGTACTTACAATGTGTGGTCCGGCTGATTACTTGCCATAACGCAACGAAACGAAACGACATTTACACAAACAACATAGCTTCGGTCACCTAATCCTATTACTGTAATTTCGATTTACTTCAATGCTACATTTGCCATAACGCAACGAAAACAATTCATGAAAATATTTAATCAAAAATCTTCAAAATGTTAGGTTTTTCCCGATTTCGGTCATTCCCCGGTCATTCCCCGGCCATTCCCCGCTCATTCCCTGCTCATTCCCCGCTCATTCCCCGCTCATTCCCCGCTCATTCCCCGCTCATTCCCCGCTCATTCCCCGCTCATTCCCCGCTCATTCCCCGGCCATTCCCCGGTCATTCCCCGCTCATTCCCCGCTCATTCCCCGGCCATTCCCCGCTCATTCCCCGCTCATTCCCTTCCCCGTTCCCTTCCCCGTTCCCTTCCCCCATTCCCCGTTCCCCGTTTTAAAGATAGCCAAACTTCCGGCGTTCCGTCTGCAAGTAAAGTTATATTTAGTACGCTATAATCTGTATACATTCTTTTGTCGGCCGCCAGTTGGTCCGTACGCAAGGATTAAACTGCGCTTTAAAACGTTCAAAGGAAAATATTTGTGGGCTTTTGGGCTCAAAATACTATCAAGATGAAGAGAAGTGAGACGAATCCACTGGTATATGGCCGAAAAACAACGATACCAGAGTTATCAAGGATCAAACGCACTGCATTTTTAATTAGTTTAATAATTTTGAGCGATTTATCAACAATACAATTTCGCTTGGCTTTCAAAGACAAAGGCCGTAAATCGTTAGAATACTGTTGTTTATATACTGTAGTATAAATACATTTGACATCCGTAAGTACAATTTCTTACGCTGAATCGAACGGTGGTATTTTTATCCTTTATGTATTGCGCCATTAGGCATTTATACAAATACAATATCATGTTTCATACTACACTCTACAGCTTTCGCCTTTCCACAGCTACTAACTATAAGGGACTGTTGTTGGATAAATTTTATATTGATATGACACCAATATGCTTCTCATAAAGTATTTATCTATTATAAAACTACGTTGTGTAGTTTAAGTTATAACCTTTTACCTTGAAATATTTGTATTTGGCTTGTTTAGATTCAGATTCAGTATATCATGATCGTGCACGGGAATTTAACGATCCAAATTTCGGATTTTCAGAGTCGTGTACCAAGAAAAATGCATTAACTAAACTAGCACGAATGTCCAGAGTTAGACACAATGCAAAATCCATAGAAAACAGGTACAATTCGTTGAAAATTTTAACGAAATTGTTTGAAACATTTGCCCACTCCACGAAATTGTTTGAAACATTTTTACTTGCTGCTGTTTCCATGTCGAAATTCCTTGTAAAATTGTTCAATTTCCCCGAATTTTCCTCAAAATGGAGGGCTATTTACTCGCTGGGGCACTCTGTGCCCCGGGCGAGTATAGGTTTCGGCTTGCATTTTTCTTGGATAGTGGTCGTCGATAGCCACAAAATAGAATATTAATGAGCTGCCTAATTTTCCTCCAATTATCCATAAGGCTCCTGCCATTTTTACCCAAATTATCCATAAATAACCCTGCATTTTGAGGAAAATTCGGGAAAATTGAACAATTTTACAAGGAATTTCGACATGGAAACAGCAACCTTCGCAAATCGCAAGTTACGTGGCTGGGCTGTTTTGTATTTTGGGAAGAAAGCGAACTTTTGATTCTTTTCAACGATGTTTACGGTAAGTGAATGTGATTTAATTTCAAATACGCTCACCTCGCATGACTCTGCACCTATTCGTGGTAGACCTACACTAAAAGATGCTGAGCGATTTCGAACCGGGTCGATTATCCACGAATCAAAAAATACCTTCGGGTACGTAAAAACTTGCATATACAATTGCCAAAAATACACAAAAAGTTGCCAAAAATATTATACAAAAAGTGAACAAAAATGTGACAAAAGTACTACTGAAATGACGAATAATACACAGACAAATTTACAAAAAACAAACGTAAACTCACAATCAAGTTGCTGTACTGTTAACGAGTACATGGACAACATAGCCGCCAGTAGAAAGGCTATAAAGAACATGGACAATGCGATATCGTCTGAACAGACAACAATCAAGAATTTCTCAACACTTTTGAGCAAAGATGATATGGAAAACAAGAATGTGTCCACAGATCAATGTATGTCAGGTATCAATATATCTAACAACTGTATTTATAAATTGAATAACCAGAATATTGAAATAACAGGTCTGTCAAAGCACAATCCTATGCGTATAAAGAAACTTCCAGTGCGATCACGATATGCATTATTTTATAACGTCTGCACACAAAAACATGTTACTGACTTTGCTACCATTGGTTGCCATTTACGTCACCGTGACCGTGAACCCAGTAGAATACAGGTGAAATGGTTAACTAGGAAGTTTGGAAAAAGTCGATTGTTGAGAAAACGTCTCAGACATAAGATCAAAAGGTCTGTACCCAGATCCTCTCATCTTCATTATATAGTAGAGAATATTATGCATTGTCAAGACATTAGGATGAAGTGTATCCCTGATGTTTACTGCCCAAAGAAGGTTCACAAGAAATGCCGCACAAACCGTTCAGCAAAAGATTTAAAATTTTATATTTGTGAAGGAATTCTTGCAGATATATTCTATTTATCAAGTTCGACTCATGATTCATATGCACAACAGGTATACAAAAATGTCAACCACTTAAAGAATGTGTATCAGTCAGCATTATCTACAGATATTGAGACAAATCCTGGACCCGTATTCTATATTGATCCAAGCAAGACAATCAGTGCACCATATAGCCAAGGTAATCAGATTATATTTGGAGAAACAGCAGGACAGCAGTGTTTAGCAATGTGTTTATGTGCCCTTATATACAACAAAAGACAGAACATATGCTCACCACAAGACCTGGTTAATGTAATGAATATTGGTAATGAACTATATTCAAACTTATCGTGTTTAGCACGGCAATCATTTTTATTGTTTACAGAGTTGCCTTCACAACTTACAGTATTTGACACAGATTATATTTTTGAGTACAGTGAGAGCTATAGTGGTAATATAACTGGAGACTGTTCTATTGAAGGGTATCAGTACTGGGTTCCATTTCACAGATCATTTGAATTGCTCCTAGCTGAAAACTATTCTGCATTCATTTTAACAATTGACTCCAATGCTGTTTGCATATTTTCTACCACTGATGGCAAGTATAAAGTTTTTGACTCTCATTCAAGAGATATTTATGGCAGAAGTCATCCACAAGGTACATGTGTTCTGTTAGAACACAGTTAATTGAACTGTGGTTAGAAGCACCAAATATCAACAACATAATTCTGTATTTCCAGTCTTTGTACAGTGAAAACAGTCAATTTGAGCTAAGAGGAATAAATATTGAAGAAGTACAAGCCAATTGTGACCAGAACTTAAACAACAGCATTAGAAATTCTGCCTTATCAGGTAATGCCTCAGAAAAATCTAAAAGTACTGATGTTTCTTGTTTATGTAGACAATGCTGTGCAATTTCATTATACTCGATTTGTTATTCTGTTATTAAACCTTGTAATTACTGGGATTCAAATACAGTGGCCGCAGTTGTTTACTTTGGCACTACTTTGTATAACAACACTGGGATAAATACATCTCGTGATATACCTCAAAAAGTGGAAATATGTAGAACTGAAATAGATGTAAAATTGCAAGCTAATATTCAAGGAATAGTATATGACCAGACAAAAAGCAAACTACACATTGAAAGCCTTATTTGTAATACTAATGAAAACACAGGGTTTTTAATTTGGTTTGGAGATTATTGTATTTCTTGCATCTTTCAAAAGACATCAATTAAGAATATGTCATACTCAATATTAGCATATGATGATGATGATAGCTCGCCTACATGTACTGCACATTATATTAAAAACATAAACGACAAGCATACTTTAGTTAATATTATCTTTAACCTAGCAACCACCAAAATCAAGGATGGAATTGTCAATTATGAAATTCAATTTTTGTCTTGTTCTTCTGAATTGACCAACTGTGAAAGAAAAAGAATTATGAAAAACCACAGGCAAAACTATATGAATGACTTCATTGAACCAGCTCTAAAGAAACAGAAGCTAGAAACAAAGTAGGTGAAGTACAAAACAATGGCTCAGGAGAAAAAGCAAAAAATACTGGAGAATAGAAGAGTAAAATATGAAGAAATGGATCAATCAAAGAAAGAGGAACTGCTTACTAAAAATATGAATTATAAAGAAACAATGAGTAAAGAACAAAAGCAAAAAATACTAGAGAATAAAAGAGCTAAATATGAAGCAATGGATCAATCAAAGAAAGAGGAACTGCTTACTAAAAATATGAATTATAAGGAAACAATGGGAGAAGAACAAAAACAGAAACTATTAGAGAACATGAGAGGCAAATATCAAGCAATGGATTTATCAAAGAAAAAGGAGTTGAGTGCTATGAGTTCAAGCAAAATCATGTCAAATCGCATCTCGTTGGATCCAAAACAAAAAAATAATTTGCTGAATAGAGAGAAAGAAAAACGGATGGAAAAGAAATATCTAACTCATGACATTGACATGTGCATTGAAAAATTTAAAAAACAAATTAAATCAGGCCAATTTTACATATGCTGTGTGTGTAACCGGACACTATATAAAAAGTCGGTAGTAATCCTACAGAAAAATAAATATCCTCGCCAGGATTGTTTTGTGCTTCAATGTTCTTTTGATGGCAAAAACTACATCTGCAAAACATGCCATGCTAAATTACTTAAAGGTCAACAGCCTTGTCAAGCTGTGGTAAACAATTTATTTGTTGATGAAACCCCTACTGAACTTGCTGCATTAGAGAAACTTGAACAAATTCTTGTTGCCCAGAGAATAGTCTTTGAAAAAATTGTAATAAAGGACAACAAAGAAAAATTAAAGGTGCAATATGTAATGTACCAGTTGAATGTAGTCAAACATGCAATGTTCTTCCCAGACCACCTGACAGATCTGGAATAATTTTACTTAAATTAAAAAGGAAACTTCAATTTAGAGGTCATGTTTACTTTCAAGCAGTTCGCCCTCAGTTTGTAATTAGCGCATTAAACTGGCTTGTAGCAAACAATCCATTATATAGAAACATTGAAATTCAATGTGACAACATCAGCCCAGAGTTGACTAATTTGAACTGTCCTGTTACAGATCAAGAAAATATAGACGAGCATTTGCAAACTAATGTAAATAGAGAACTTCTTAATGAAGATGCTGAAGAACAAGATGATCCATTAAATGAACACCGTTCAGCTGCAACTGAAACCTGTCTTCAGTCCATCTTGCCAAATTACCCTGTTAACCTGGACAATAGAAACTGTGATAATTCAACAGGTAGAGAAATTTTCAACATTGCACCAGGTGAAGGTAAACACCCAGTGTCATTGATGACTGATAAGCTTTGTGAGGAACTTTCATTTCCAGTACTCTTTCCAAAAGGACGATTTGGGTATACCGTTGAACGAGACATAAAATTATCTGCAATAAAATATTTCAATGCTCGCCTCTTGCACTATAGTGGGAAATTTGCAACCAATCCAGAGTATCTATTCTTTCATTATGGAACAGAAAAAGATCTCTGATCGTATAAAAATCGCTCTTAAAAAGATACATGGGCAGTCAGTCACAGCATCACAAGTAAAATCAAACAGTCAAGCTTTTCAAAATCTTCTTTTGCAAGATCAAGCATATTTGTTTTTACGACAAATTCCTGGCTCACCTCCTTACTGGCAAAAATTCATGTATGAAGTGGTAGCAATGGTTAAACAACTGGGAATACCAACATGGTTTATGACGCTTTCATGTGCAGACTTAAGATGGCCTGAGCTATTTCAGATAATTGCAAAAACGAAAGGAAACAACATGACAGATGAAGAAGTGGACGCTCTGTCCTATCATGAGCGATGCTCAATGTTAAATTTAAATCCAGTTATTGTAGCTAAACATTTCCAGTATCGAGTCGAAACATTTTTCAGGGATGTTTTGCTTACAAATGCAAACCCAATTGGCAAGATAGTATATTATGCACTCCGTATTGAATTTCAAATGAGAGGTTCACCACATTTGCATGCCTTAATATGGACATTATAACAAACGTACTTGCAGGGAGGTGAGTCCGGGATTGGACGCACCGAGGGTGGCTGGAAGTTTCCCGAACTTACCGAGCGAAGCGAGGTGAGTTCGGGAAACGTCCAGCCACCGGAGGTGCGTCCAATCCCGGACTCACCGAACCTGCAAGTACGTTTGGTTTTTATCCCATACACCGAGGCTGACCGAGCCATACACACATTTGTAGCTCTTCGCGATATATTCGTCGATGTTTTGTGAACATTTTCCCGGCCAAAAAATCACTGGGCAAGAAAATACTTCTTTATCTACGTCTACATTACCTTTACTGCATTTTTCTTTGGTTTTTCTTCAGTCTCAGTATGTTAGTCACCGAAAAAGTTCTTTAAAGTTTAGGTTGATCGGCTAAATCTTGTCCGCCATATTTGTTATTGTTATTGCAACGTAAGCAGTTTAGCGGGTGAGTTCGGGCGAAAAGCAGGTGAGTTCGGCAAAAAGCAGGTGAGCTCGACGACAAGCTCACCTGCTCTAAACCAATCAGAAAGCCGCTTTTAACACAGGTATGGGATAACTGATTGTCCCGACTTAACAAATGATGCAAAAGATGCATACATAGATTACATTGACCAACATGTTCAAGCTTACCTCCCAGACAAAGAAACAGATCCTCAACTTTATGACTTGGTGAAAACATACCAGACACATAACCACAGTAAAACCTGTAGAAAGTATAAGAACGTTGCATGCAGATTTAACTTTGGACAGTTTTTTACTGACAGAACAATTGTTGCTGAACCTTTGGCTGAAGATATGGATGATGAGATTAAATCCAATATTCTAACCAGACGAAAGGAAATTTTGTCTAAAGTTAAACAAAAAATTGACGATGTGCTAAACCCAAGCAAACCTACTTATGATCCACATGCAACTCCAACTGACATTCTAAATGATATAGATATTACAGAGCAAGACTATCAATGGGCTATATCATTATCGCCAGACTCTGACTATGAATTGCACCTTAAAAGACCAATAGATAGTTGTTTTATCAACAATTACTTTATTGCTGGGTTAAAAGGATTTGCCGCAAATGTTGACTTGCAACCAGTGTTTAATCATTACAAGTGTGTCACATACGTTTGTTCTTACTTTACAAAGGATGAAACTGAATGTTCTCAAGCCATCATAAATGCAGCAAAAGAGGCTAAAGAAGCCAACTTAAATGTAAGAGATGGCCTAAGAAAAGTAGGTGCAGCTTTTCTCTCGACTCGTGAAGTCAGTGCTCAAGAATGCGTTTACAGGTGCATGCCTGAACTCTGGTTAAGAAAAATATTCCCGAAAACTCTCTTTGTTAGTACGGACTACGGATTTTGCTGAAAATCGCGTTAGATTTGCGAAGAAACAACAAGAACTTGATGAGTTAGGTGATGATAGTACTGACATTTTTAAGTCTAACATTATTGTCCGTTACAGTAACAGACCGAAAAACATTCCTGTCGTTAATGATATGTGTTTAGCTTTATTTGCTTCACACTATTTCAAAGATTACAAAAGTGATTTTAACGAAGTGTCAGATTCTCAACCTGAAGTGTTAAGTGATGACTTCATGGAATCTCAAAATATCGAAAATCATAACACTGGACTTCCCGATCGAATAAAACTTGTAAATAGCAAAGAAATTATGAAGTGCAGAAAAATTAAAGCTGTCATTCGATATCACACTCCAAACAAAAGAAAAGAGCCTGAAAAATATTTTCACCACCTTCTTATGTTATATTTTCCGTGGCGTAATGAGCAGGAACTCTTTGGCGAAGACCAGACATACATATCTAAGTTTTATGAGCCAGATGTTCAAGAGGTAGTACAATGCAACAAAGAAATATTTGAGCCAGATGGTGATGCAATTAATGAAGCACTAGAAAGTTTACGAAACTTTGATGGTGTACCAACTCACTCCTATGATCCAATAAATGACCAGGAAAATGAAGATTTGCGACAAAGTTTACCTGACGATTCTGATGAAATCGAGTCTTTTAACGAATCGTTGCCACAACATCTTGCATCAATTCCAGAATCAGTTCAACCACCTTCTGGAATAAGTTCTTATAATCAACCCTTAGCAATCAGTGACGACAATCTACGAAAAACTGTAAGATCATTGAACAACAAACAACGTTATGCATATGACGTAGTTCTTTCGTGGTGTAGAAATAAGATGGCCAACCTAAACACCCTTAAACCATCTAAAGTAGATCCGATACATGTTTTTGTTACTGGAGGTGGAGGTGCAGGGAAATCACACTTAATTAAAGCTATATATCATACTGTTACAAAAACATTTAGACATGCTCCAATGAATCCTGAATTACCTTCTGTATTGCTAATGGCTCCAACTGGTGTAGCTGCCATAAATATCAACGGAACAACCGTAAACACTGCTCTAGCAATTCCAAGAGAATGTGGGAATAATGTACCTGCAATGTCTGACCAGAGACGAACACAAATGAGATTGTCTTTGGCTGAATTGAAACTAATCATAATTGATGAAATATCAATGGTCTCAAACATGGGTCTGCTGCATATTCACCAGAGATTGAAAGAAATATTTGTTACACCTAATAGTGAACTTTTTGCAGGAATCAGTGTACTTGTTTTCGGAGATTTCTTTCAGCTACCACCAATTGGAAGCGCAACAACATTTTCAAATTATAAGATTGATACATTCAATCTACACCATTCATGGCATGGCATGTCTTTAAAGTGGCAGAACTAACACAAATCATGAGACAGAAAGATGACCTCGCCTTCACTCAACTATTAAATAGAGTGCGCACTGCTTCACATACAGACGATGATATCAAGTGTATTCAATCTAGAACAATAACTCCAGATGATGAAAATTATCCATCGGATGCATTACACATTTTTGCAGAAAATGCACCAGTAGATGAGTACAATATTGATCGCCTACAACAAATTCAATCACCACAGTACGTTTTAGAAGCTTTAGATCAATTCCCACCTCATGTTAGAAAACAGGATGTCGAAAGAGTGTTGTCTAAAGGAAGATCCGAAACTGGAGGGCTTGACACTAAAATCCTGATCAAAGAAAATGCGAGAATTATGCTCACAACAAATGTGGATATTAGCGATCGACTAATTAATGGCCAGTTAGGTACAGTAATAAGAGTTTATGTTGACAATGTTAGTAATAAACCTTCTACAGTTTTTGTTAAGTTTGATGACTGTAACGCTGGAATATCTGCCATCCAAAATTCGTCCAGTAGTTTTGCAAGAGAAAACAATCTTGTTCCTATCAAACCTGTATTAGCGAGAATTAAAGTCAGACCAGGAAAACCATCGTCTCCTGAAATGCAAAGATTACAATTTCCTGTAACTCTCGCATGGGCATGCACTGTTCATAAAGTACAAGGATTAACTCTGGATAACATTGTCGTCAGTTTTGATTTAAAAAAGCAAAGGTATTTTAACTATGGTCAGGTATATGTAGCACTTAGTCGAGCAACATCTTTAAATGGCCTGCATATTTTAGGAAAACTTGAAAGTAAACATATTCGAGCTAATCCTAAAGTCCAGGAAGAATATGAGAGATTGCGTGAAACTTCGAGTCTCCACCCGCATATTACAACAGATTTATGTAACATAGAAACTGTCTCCATTTGTCTTTTAAATATTAGATCATTTAAAAAACACAGTCTTGACCTATGTAATGACCCAATCTTGTCTAAATGTGATGTGCTGGCTCTGACGGAAACTCAACTTTTAACCAGTGTGCGAAATGATGATATTATTAACTCAATCCTTAACGATTTTTCTATACACAGACAAGATCATAATTCTGACAAGTTCTTAAGTCTAGCTGTTTGCTACAAAGACACTATTACATTATGTGATACAGAATATTTTACTTCAATAAATGGTTTACGATTTTTACTTAATAACTCCGGTGGAATTACCTTATCCTGTCTACTGCTTTATCGTAAGCACGGAGGTGACATTCAGCAATTCATAGCTTGCCTACATTACATAATAACTAGCTTGGATATTGACGTTATATTTGGAGATTTTAATATTGATTACTTTAATGATAACAATAGTAGTATTACCCCGTATAGCGGCGGAAGTAATTAGTATGCAGGAGCGAATAGAGCGGCGGAAGTAATTAGTATGCAGGAACGAATAGAGCGGCGGAAGTCCCGTATAGCGGCGGAAGTAATTAGTATGCAGGAGCGGGTCCACTATAGCGCCGGAAGTGACGTCAGCATTTTTCCCGACATAGGACGTCAGCGTTTTTAGGGATAAGGGTGACGTCATTTTTGGAACATTGTCGCGTAACATTTGTCGCGTGATCTTTTGGAATTTTCAGATGGCGTCTGCGGGACGTATAAAAACGGGAGTTTTATATTTATTTTAAAATGAAAAGTGTTTGCAGTAATGAGCATTTCTCAGGAGGTGCCAAACGATTTGGTTGTGGATGAAGTATCTTATGAAGTGAAGAATGTTTGTGATTTGACGAATGCTGTGTTTTTCGAAGCGGTTGTTTGTGAAATTCGGAGATTATTGAAGGAGAAATGTCCAGGCTGTGAAGTCGATCATCCGAGTCAGAGGAGACACGACTGTATTATGTTGTCAGACGAGGAGGGATGGTTACTGCATGGTTTGGGAGCAGTGGAGCGTGTGATTGAGCGTGGAATTGTGAAGAAACAGTTTCTTGAAGCTATTCGAGTGATGAAATTGGAATATTACGGGCGTGCGAAAGAACATTATGCGAACTTGATAAAAGATCGTGAAGTAACACTTGATTTTTTTTGGAGGATTTGAGAGGAAATTTTCCTGATTATCAGCCCATTTTGAACTACCTAATGTATTGGAGCGAGGAACATTGTGCATAAGGGCACTTTTACGTGTAGTTTAAAGTTGTAAATTTTCAGAACAATATAAACGTCTTAGTTCATTACTTTGCTATAAAAATGTGTTTATATGTGTCTAGTTTTCAGCCGAGAAAACGTTTGCCATTCCAACCTCTCATTAAAGAGTGGTTTTAATTCGGAAAGCAGGTAGCATAATACCAAAAACGTAGTAAAAATTTATTGAGCTAAAAGACCTATTACTCGTCAATATCATCAACAGTTCATATATACAGCAAGAGATTTGTATCTATGTACGTCATAGACGATTGATGCAATGATTGTGGGACATTACGAATGTGCCTATACGCATGTGAACTGTGCAAATGATTTTAGAGCGAAATAATGTTGCTACGATACTGTTTTGCTTGCATAAATTAGGGGTTCCCTAAGGCTTCCCTCGGGGTACGTATGCGTCTTCGCATTTTGCTCATGCGTCTTCGCATTGAGTTCGCATTTTGCTTCGCATTTTTCGCATTTTGGTTCGCATTCTTCGCACTTTGCTTCGCATTCTTCGCATTAAGGCCCGATTAGGCCCGAAATGGCACTTTTTGGCCCGATTAGGCCCGATGGCCCGGTAGAAGGTATGGTTAAACTCTAATGTCCATTTTTCCACAAGGACTTATTGTTGCAATGAAACAAGGCACAATACAGTTTTAATCAATATTTATTTCACATAAACATTACAACGATTCATCACTATCTGAAAAACGTCCTTGATCTTCTAAAAGCTGTTTCAACAGAAACTTTCTTTTGTCAACCGCTGCAGATAAAGCTTCATCAGGATCAAACGAGTCTTCGTTCGCTAATGTCTCCTTCGTTTCCATAATCTTTCTATGCACAGGATCATTTTTAAGTGCATTCATCCATCGTAAATTATCCACGTAAACGTCAGCGAATTCTTTCTGAAGTTCAGGGAGAACGTTTTCAAAGGCTTTCTGCTTAGCTGCACTTTCTTCTTGCCCATCCATTTGCAACGTTCTCATAAATTCATCATACTCTGGTCGAACGGTCGCCTTTGCATCGTCAATCATGGTTGCCCAAGGATCAATCTCTTCCTTTATTTCACCATCATCTTCGGAATTCTCACTGTTTTCATCTCCCTCAGTTTCCGTTACACTTTCTTCGTCTGGAAAAGAGTCCACACTTTGCTCATCTGAGTAGCTACTTCCTCCTCCATCCATCGAGGCATTATCGTCAATCTTTGCATATGCACAATGGCTCGCCTTATGTCGCCTGACATTATAATAGGACGAAAACTGTTTCAGACATCGATCACACTGGTAAGATGCCATAGTTCGCTCTTAAGAAATGAAAAGTGAGAGCTCTCAGAGTGGTTACTTATATAGTGGATATGTGCTTGGTTTGCTTGTCGGACAATACAGGTGAAATAGTTTGAACGTCATTGAGAGTACGCATGCGCATTTCGTCTTAAGTACTTTTATTATGAAGGACTAACAGCTAGCTAGGCTGAGATGTTCCGGTGGCCTTTCTTTCTTCGTGCATCTGTTCCTCGAGTCGTAAACATAATCATTATGGCATCTTCCGTAAATTGTTTACATCAATCCTACATCGACTTCCCATCGACCTTACATCCACCTCACCTTGACCTTACATCCACCTCACGTTCACCTCACATCGACTTTTTAGAGATAATTAAATTAAGTGGGATTGGGAGCACTCTCCCCCTGGCGTTAGACAGGGTAGGGCGAGTCCGGGTGCATTATCACTTAAAGGGTTAACAGGGTGTATGGGTAGGTAGTCTGATTAATTAACCTATTGGGTTCTACCGGGCCTAATCGGGCCAAAAAGTGCCATTTCGGGCCTAATCGGGCCTTAATGCGAAGAATGCGAAGCAAAGTGCGAAGAATGCGAACCAAAATGCGAAAAATGCGAAGCAAAATGCGAACTCAATGCGAAGACGCATGAGCAAAATGCGAAGACGCATACGTACCCCGAGGGAAGCCTTAGGGAACCCCTAATTTATGCAAGCAAAACAGTATCGTAGTAACATTATTTCGCTCTAAAATCATTTGCACAGTTCACATGCGTATAGGCTCATTCGTAATGTCCCACAATCATTGCATCAATCGTCTATGACGTACATAGATACAAATCTCTTGCTGTATATATGAACTGTTGATGATATTGACGAGTAATAGGTCTTTTAGCTAAATAAATTTTTGCTACGTTTTTGGTATTATGCTACCTGCTTTCCGAATTAAAACCACTCTTTAATGAGAGGTTGGAATGGCAAACGTTTTCTCGGCTGAAAACTAGACACATATAAACACATTTTTATAGCAAAGTAATGAACTAAGACATTTATATAGTTCTGAAAATTTACAACTTTAAACTACACGTAAAAGTGACCTTATGCACAATGTTCCTCCCTCCAATACATTAGGTAGTTCAAAATGGGCTGATAATCAGGAAAATTTCCTCTCAAATCCTCCAAAAAAAATCAAGTGTTACTTCACGATCTTTTATCAAGTTCGCATAATGTTCTTTAGCACGCCCGTAATATTCCAATATCATCACTCGAATAGCTTCAAGAAACTGTTTCTTCACAATTCCACGCTCCATCACACGCTCCACTGCTCCCAAACCATGCAGTAACCATCCCTCCTCGTCTGACAACATAATACAGTCGTGTCTCCTCTGACTCGGATGATCGACTTCACAGCCTGGACATTTCTCCTTCAATAATCTCCGAATTTCACAAACAACCGCTTCGAAAAACACAGCATTCGTCAAATCACAAACATTCTTCACTTCATAAGATACTTCATCCACAACCAAATCGTTTGGCACCTCCTGAGGAATACTCATTGCTGCAAACATATCACATAAACTTTCCATTTTAAAATAAATATAAAACTCCCGTTTTTATACGTCCCGCTGACGCCATCTGAAAATTCCAAAAGATCACGCGACAAATGTTACGCGACAATGTTCCAAAAATGACGTCACCCTTATCCGTAAAAACGCTGACGTCCTATGGCGGGAAAAATGCTGACGTCATTTCCGGCGCTCTATTCGCTCCTGCATACTAATTACTTTCGGCGCTATACTGCACTTCCGCCGCTGGATATACAGTGGCCGCCATTTTGAATATTAATTACTCGCCAGATGGGCAGGCCTCAAAATGATGACGTCACTTCCGGCGCTATATGGGGGGGTTATCTACTGCCTCCAATTAAAAGATCACAGTCAATCGGGATGCTTCGCGCGTTAAAATGTTTTGATTTTTTTTCCCCGCCAATTTATTAGGTACTTTAGTGACAAAATATTGACGTCCAAAGCGTATCCTTATCAAGCTGAATTATTGTTAGAAGAAGTAATATATATATATATATATATATATATATATATATATATATATATATATATATATATATATATAT